CCTGCTCTATCCTGAGCCAACCTTATCGTCTCTGACACACCATTACAAGAGTCAATCCATCTCAAAGGCTTTCTTCTCTTGCACTGCCCCTCCACACTCTCAAACATGATGTCTCTCTCCATGAACTGATCCCTCCTTGAGACATGTCCAAAGTATGTCAGAGGGAGCTTCAGAATCCTTGTCTCCAAGGAGCAGCCTGGTTTCACCTGCTCTGGGACAAACCTGTTTGTTCTCCTAACAGTGCATTGTATATTCAATACTCTTCTCCAGCACCACAGCTCAAAGACATCAATTCGCTATCATCCCTAGTCATTGTCCAGTTATCTGGTGCATAGCAAGACTGCCAAAAGAAAAGAGTGATGTCTTAGAGAAAGTACAATCAAGAGCTCTTTAGAGGCAAGGATGGTGAAGTTCATCTCTCCTCCTGCTTTGGCCATCTTGTTAGAAAAGGCTATGCCTTGGAATGGGACAGCATGCTTGGAAAGGTGAAGAGTCAGGGAAAGAGAGGAAGATCCTTAAGAGATGTATTGATCCAGTGACTGCAGCAATGGGCTCAAGTGTATCACAGATGATGATGGCACAGGATAGGCAGGGTTCACGTCTGTTGTTCACTGGGTTGCTCTGAGTCATACTCAACAGAACTTCACAACAACAACATGGAGTCTGTTGGATTCCTGGTTCCCCAACATGTATCAGCAGAACTGAGCTCCACAGAATTGTCAAAGAACAGATTTTCAGAAGTGGATTGCCAGGCCTTTCTTCCAAGTGCCTCTGGATGCACTCCAATCTCCAGGGTCTTGGTGAGTGAATTCACCCAAAGCATCACTCTCCTGGGGACTCCTGTAAGAAGAGACTGAGTCCATAAGGGCAGATGCAGTATTAGAGTCAGAAGTCTGGGCTCCGTGCATTTATTCGTTTATAGATTTAGTCAAATGCGATAATGATTACCCATGGTTAGACAGTATTTGGTGGAGCTCTCTGATTACAACAAGCAGGAGTGGCATCCACTTCCAAAATAGCTTACTTTTGGAAACTATGAATGTGGAGAAACGATGAAAGTTATACAAGTGTCCAGGTCTTTTGTTCATAGTGTTGCTATGAGTCGTCTACATCTAGATGGCTATTAACAACAACATTTGTTTATTGTGCTGAGCACACAGCAAGGACCACACATCAATCATTCCCAGAGAAGGGACATCACTTGTCTTGTTGGCAGGAGTCTGCAAAGCTTGGGTGGCAGTCAGGAAGTGGTCGACGTCCTGCACTGGGGACATCGTCAGGGTGGAGTCCATGATAGTCAGGTGTGCAGACACTGGGAGAACTGGAAGGGCTGTGAAACCAGGGTGTGAAGAGCTGGTGGGATGCTGGGGCCCTTATGTGGCCATGGTGGAGGGAGCAGTGAAGCAATGTCTCCAAGGGATGAGGGTCTGGGCTGGGGACCAAGGCTCCCAGTGCCTCCCACAGTCTGAGAGCAACAAGAACGTGCTAAAGAAAGACCTTCTTTTTATGGAAAACTCTGCTCACCAGGCTGTGAGCAGCATGGACCATCTGCTCTGAGGGACGATACCCTCATCTAGTCCCGGGGGCCTGGGGCCTGTGCTGGCCTGTGTCCCTATGTCCCTGGGAAGCGGTCATCCCATCCTCATGGTGCACCTGTTAGTACAAGCACCCAAACCCCAGGGGGATCCAGGGAGCCCACTCCCCTCCCCCAGTCACCCCTGATCATGGTCACTCCAGCCAGCTCTGTGGAGAAGTGGGTGGGAGCTGGCTATTCCCAGCAAAGGTGGCCTGCCAGAGGGCTGCTCTCCTGGACCTTTTGCTGGCTCTAGTGCTGGTTGAGTGGAACAGAGTCTGTGAGACTCATAGTGGGACTTTCTTGGTGTCCTAGGAGCCACCAAGGGGGAAAGGGAGGAAGGGCTGGGAGCAGCTAGCGGTGAGAGGACAGGGCTGTGGTGTGTCCCAAGGAGGACGGCCAGAGGAGGCCTGCCACATAGCAGTTCTGAGCAGACCCTTTCTAGACCGTCCTGAGCCTGCCGAGTGGGGCTCAGACCACTTCCATCACTTCTGATGGTCTTGGGAGATTCCAAGAGGACCAAGATGTCCACTGAGGACCATGTGCAAGCTGAACCGCTGACACATCCACCTCGCTGGTGTTTGCCTCCCCTTTAAAGAGAGCCTCGCCCACTTTAAGTGTACAGGCTGCCACTTACATTCACGCTCATACTAATACACACTCACATGTACTTAGAGACACACGCAGATTGATACATACACTAGTACACACATGCTCACTCACACATGTTCACACTGGTACACATGCCTACTCACTGATGTACATTCACTCACCGACACATGCTCACACTTGTTCACACTGATGCACACTCACGCCACTCATGACTATTCACACTGATATCTACTCGTACAACATACTCATGCATATTCACATGGTTGCACGCTCATGCCACTCACACTCACACATGGATGGATGCACGTTCATGTTGCTCACGGATGTTCACACTCATTCACATGGATACACGCTCACATCATGCTCATTCACATGGACACATGCTCGCTCATGCTCATTCACATGGATGCACACTCACACTCATTCACGTGGATGCACACTCAAGTGGCTCACACATACTCACGCCGCACACACTCATTCACATTGATGCACCAATGCCACTCATACTTATTCACATGGACACACACTCACAGCTTACACTAATGCACACCAGTTCACATCTACACACTCACACATGCCATGTTCACACACCTCTTCATATTCAACATGCTCATCCTCTGCACTCACTAACATATATTCACACTTACAAATCCCCATTCATACAGTCACATACCCATTCACATGTCCACATCCACAGTATCCACACTCAAGTTCACTGGTGTGCACATTCATCACACATGCTCAGCTCACATCCACTTACACATGCTCGTATGCATATACATACTTGTAGACACACTCACGCACTCACACCAATTCACAATACACTCACATCCATAAGCACACATGCACCAACATCCACAGCTGCACACTCACACATCACTTTCACAGACATGCTCATTCATACTCCCCCCCACACACACACAGGGGCACAGGCCTTCTCATGTTTGTCCTCCCCATGGGGACATTGGCTGGCACCACCCTGGTAAGGAAGCTGGTGACATTGAATCAATTGGGAGGAATTGATTGGGAGAGATTTCTGAGCCATCTGTCTGCTCTCCAGTCATTCCACACGGGTGCACACTGTGTCTAAATCTGGGGAACATGGGGGCTGGGGGCATGGCAAGGTGGGGGGCCACAGTGAGACAGGGAGCATGGCAGAGTGGGAGCACAAGTTGGGGGCATGGGGGACACACTGGAGGGACACGGTGGGCTGAGGAGAATGGTGGGCACTGTAGAGGGGCATGGTGGGCTGGGGTGAATGGTGGGGCACCGTGGAATGAGGAGCATAGGAGGGTGAGTTGTACCCTCCTGAGATGCTGGCAGCGGCTTGTAGGTGTGACCCAGCTCTACAGCCCAAGACCCCAGCTCAGTCAGGAGCCCAGACGCACCTTGGGACATAGGACTGTAAGGTCATCACACACAGTACCAGAGGTTAACCCTCAAACAAGCCCTGGCCCTGCTACAATCCACCGAGGGTGCAGGAGAAATAAAGTCCTGGGGTTGCAGACCTCAAATGGCAGCCAGGCCTGAGGCTCACTGAGACAGTTTCCTGCATTTTCAACCCTCTGGCCAATTCCCTTCACTCTCCATCAACGTGTCACCATCCAACCAGACCTGGCCAAAGGGGACAGCCACCTCCCATATCTTAGCTCAGCTAAGGCCAGGGTCATGTAGGCAGCTTGTGCTGAGTAGTGGGGCTCATGGACGCTGCATGGTGGGTCTCGGAGGACCAGGACCGCTTGCTCTGGCTGCACCCGCTCCTCTCTAGTCAAGGATGATGTTTGCTCTTGGAACAAGTCAAACACGTTCATTTATTCAGGAGAGCCTCAAACACCAGGGTCCTTCTATGCCATTTCCAGTGCTTTCTGGGCCAGATGTCCTTCTGGGGAGGGAACCAGCACTGCTCTGGGCAGACTGAGGAGCTAGAGAGGGGGACCAGAGCCGGGGACTGTGTCTGCTGGTGAGCCCCCTCTGGTGTGAACCCAGACTTCCTCTCTGAACTCGCCTGGGGCTGGCAGAAGGGGGTAAGAGGACAATGGGGAGACAGAGGTCCTCAAGGTCTGACCTTCCCAGTATGCCCTTTGCTACTACCTTGGAAGCCCTCTTCCGGCAATGCTGTCTGGACTTCTCGGCTCTCTTCCTGCCCGCTCCCTGAAGAAAAGCTTGTGGTTCCAGGCCCTCAATGGGCGCTCCTCTTCAGGGGACCCATTCCCTGGTCTCAGAATCAATCTGCATTCCTCCCCCCCCCCAAACTCAGTCCTCCACTCAGCAGCCCCTCCCCAACCTCAGTTCTTCCATCCTCCCTCTTCTTGGCTACTTCCCCCATAATCCTCTGGCCCCTGCCTATTCTTCACTCCCCTTCATTTCCCAGATGGAGGGTGAGAGAGCCCGGCAGAATGTTCTAGAATCTTGATCTTTCGCTCCACTACACCGCCTCATTTACGTCTGTGTTACAGGACCTGGCAGGGAGCTAGGTGGCCACTAGGGTCTTGGGAGAGTCCATGGTGAACAGGTGGTAGGGGGGAAGAGATGCCCTGCACGGATCTGAGTAGATTGGGGCACTCTTTTGTGTCTGAAGGAGGCACGCATGCAGCAAGCACGAGGGTGTGGCCTGACGGTCACCACCTGGGTGTGACCATGATGAGAGCAGGCCGAGGGGCAGGGGCAGCATGGCTCTACCCGGCCAACCACACCACCTCAGAGCCCCCCGTCCTCCAGCACCCCCGCTCCCGCTGGGCATCCACTGGCCAACCCCACCGTCCTAACATCGCAGGGGGGCCCTAGGTGCCCCGTGCGTCCCCGGAAGCCGTGGCCCTCACAGCGTGCTGGTCTGCATGTGCCCGTTGGCCTGGAGGCCGCGGTCGGGCAGCGAGGCCTCCTGCAGGCGACTGCTCTTGTCCGGCCTGGGCTCCGTGACGTCGGCGTCCTCCGGCCCGTAGCCCTTTCGTAGGCACAGAACCTTCCGGAAGCTCTGGCGGAAGTTGTCGGAGAGGAAGCCGTACAGGATGGGGTTGGCGCAGCTGTTGGCGTAAGAGAGGATGACAACGAAGAAGTAGACCCCTGCAGACGCGGGCTCCTCGGGCAGGATGAAGGCCAGGTTGACGATGTTGACGATGAAGAAGGGCAGCCAGCAGCCCACGAACACAACCACCACCACCACCACCATGCGCGTCACCTTGCGCTCGGAGCGCCTGCGCCGCGTGCAGCCAACGCGCACGCGCGAGGCCTTCACCTTGACCACGATGAGCAGGTAGCACAGGCAGATGACAAGCAGCGGCCCGAAAAAGCCCAGCACCGAGGTGTAGATGATGAAGACGGCGCCCCACAGCCCCACGGGCTCCGGCCAGCTGAGGTTGCAAGTGTCCCAGCCCTCCTGGATGTCGGCGAAGACCACCAGGGGCAGCGACATGAGCAACGAGAAGGTCCACACGGCTGCGCTGGTGAGCTTCGCCACGCGGGGCCGGCGCCACTTGGTGGAGCGGATGGGGTGCACCACGGCCAGGTAGCGGTCCACGCTCATGACGGTCAGGCAGAAGATGCTGGTGAATTGGTTGATGCCGTCCAGCGTCATGACCAGGCGGCAAAGCAGAGAGCCGAAGGGCCAATAGGACACAGCGTTCTGCGTGGCCAGGAAGGGCAGACCCAGCATGAAGAGGACGTCGGCCACCGCCAGGTTGAGGATGTAGATGTTGGTGACCGTCTTCATCTTGGCGTAACGCAGGACCACGTAGATGACCAGCGCGTTGCCACCCAGCCCCACAGCGCACACCAGCAGGTACAGCACGGGGACGAGGACCGCTCGGGCCCCCGGGGATCCCACTGGTCTAACCAGAGTCTCATTCTCATCGTCCGCAGGGGCCACCAGGGAGATGTTCCAGCCACATGGTCCAAAGGTGGAGGCTGTAGGGAACAGAGGCTCCATGCGGGTGGTGGCTGCAGGGAGGACAGAAGAGCGATTAGCAGGACCGAGTGGCCAGGGATCTGCCTCAGCCCAGCTGGCCCCAGTGAAGGGTAAATATGATTAGTCATGCTCACCTCTTCCGGAATCACATTAAGCAAATTGTTTGGAAAACAAACCGGGACGACCAGCGGATCAGTCTCTAAGGGACAGCGAGTAGGGTGGTGGACACCTGTGAATCCAGCCACCTCAGGGTCAGCCCTGTCCACTTGCTCCCTAGACAGCTATCTTGCTTGGCTGTGGCCCTCACCACCTCAAGGGCCTGCATCTTCCCAGGACCCCACAAAAAGAGGTGAGCGGAGTAGGAGGTGGACCAGGAGTCTGAGAATCATCAAACACAGAAGGGTCAGAAGCACACTTGTGAGGGAATGTAGTGCTGACCCTTCCCCTGCTCAGCCCCTTCTAGGGGTCTCTTCCAGGGGTCCTCTCCAGAACTATGAGAGTGCTGGACCTTCCTGTGGTCAAACGCACTCACCGAGAACCTCAGAATGTGATCTTATTTGTACATGTGGCTGGTTCACAGAGAGGACGGTGGATGGTGGCTTCACTCCAGATAATATAAAAAGATTTCAAGTATACTTAAAACCTGTCTGAAGACATCTAGAGTGCTCAAATAAGCGTGCAGGAAAACGCAACAAAATAAATTTGGCTTCTGTCTGGGAACTAAAATGAAAAGGAATCTAATTTTAAAAATCACAAATCCTGAGTGTGGAGAAGAGGAAACAAAAAAAACCCCAAACCCAAACAAATCCACAGCCTTCTGGACAAAAGATACCCAGCTTAGGATCAGCTCTTGTATGGATACAGTTGAAGGGAGAATCGGTGAAAAGGAAAAGGAATTGAAGATTCTTTGGGAACGTGGTGAAGAGGTAAGAAGCAGAAAAGAGCCATGATAAATTAGAAAGAAAACAGCAACATATAGAGCCTAGTGGAACACCTGAGACGCCCTTAATCACTCTTTCAAACTGGAATAAACACTCCTATGACTCAATGTAGATCTCTAAGATTACTAATAACACCAGGGAGGCACTCACTTCTTAGAACAATCAACCGTATAAAGACAAAACAGGCTGCATTTGCCCAGAGAGAAAGCACAGATGAAGGAAAGTGAAGGCTGGGTGGATGAATGGAAATGAGAATCACAGGAAAGGACTGGGAAGATGCAGTCATATTGACGACTTTGTAACTAATGGCACGAAACCAAATGTGTGTGAGTGGTGGCAAATTAGAAAAACAATTTTAAGAAGAAAGAAAGAAAAAGAAAACCAATTTGCTTTTATAAACATTCAAACACGACAGGAAGAAAGAAAAAAAAAAATACCAGCACTGTAGTCAACCTGTTTAGCTTCAAGGACAAGGAGAAAATTCTAAAGAATACTTATAAAGAGAAAAAGCCAGGAAATCCAGAAGAGATGACAAAGCTCATCAGAGAGAAGAAAGCCATCGAGCTTTCATGAAAAGGATGGAGGGAAAGTGACCGTTAGCTAACACTGCCCACCTTGAGGACAGAGCTCGCCTGCATGAGGCTGGCATGGGACAGGCATGGGGCAGGCAGCATCTTTGTTTTGCTGTGTTTGGAGCTCCCAGGGATGGAGCCACTTTACTGGGATGCCATGTCCTGTTAGGCGGGTGGCAAAACCCTTTTAGGTTGAGGTGATGATTTGATATGGCTCCAGTTTGAAGACAAAGTCGAGGCTCCCCCTGTACCCCTCTGTGTTCTCCTGTCCTGACCACTCTTCCTCAGCTGGAGGAGAGAGGTGGGAACTGTCTGGAGCCTTCGTTTACTCGATCCAGCAAGTGCCATGCTTAGCTGTGGGGGTTCAGATATACGGTGCTCGTGGAGCATGGTCCCCAGGACTGGTGTGAGGCAGTGGGCAGGGAGCTGCCTCCTGGGCTAGGTCCAGTGCTTGCTGCACATGCGTCGCTTACACACTCTTTCAGGAAAGAGACATTTAAACTCACTATGGAAGCTTGCTGGAGTGGAGAGGCAGCTCTAGAGGGGCAGGGGCCGAGGTCTAAAGATGGCTCTGCCTCTGGCTCTGAGGACATCCTTAGAGGTATGTCTCCACACTCAACTCAGAATCTTGTGGCCCAAACTCAAACTCATACCCTTCTGTCGAAGTGTGCAGTGCTTTATGGACTAAGCCCTCTCCAAAAACATCAATACCTGAGAAGGGGCATTGGGTTCATCCCAGGTGGGCTCCAGGAGTCTTGGAGGGCTGGGGTACCTGGGTCCCCACGGGTGACAGAGGGGGTTCTAGTGTTCAAACCACCCCTGCCTTGGGCCCTGGGGCTCATGAGGTGTGTGGTCCTCACAATTATTTTCTGACTCTGGCACTTTCTAGGCCCCACCCAGTGCCCTAGGACTCAGAGCCCCTGCACAGACTGCCGCCCCCCAATCCCTGTCAATCCCCCAGCTCCCAGGCCAGCCTCACAGTGATGAGGAACAAAAATAGTGCCTCATCTGAACATCACTCCGCAAGAACCATTATTCAGAAGCAATCTTCTTAGTCACTGAAATTACACTCTCAGGAAAATTGCCCCAGTCCTGTCCCCTGGGCCAGAAGGGGCGGGGAGTCAGCAGAGGGGGGACCCGTGAAATCCATGGTGCACCTCACAGTTGGGTATGGACTCCCGCTGAAAGGAGCTGACCAAGTCAGCCTCTTGCCCAACCACCATGTGACCAGCTGCACCTCCCAAGCTGCCCACATGATGCTGGGCAGGGGCAGCTCTCCCCTCCGTACCTTCCTGCTGACTTGCCTGCACAAAGCAAGTGCTCAGTAATGGATCCCTGAGCCCCTCAGCCCAGCTTCTGACACCAGGGTCCAGGAGCCTGAGTCTCGGCCTGGCCTGGCCCTGTGGTGGCGAAAGTGGCCTTGGGGATGTAGTGGCTCAGCGCACGGGCTCTGGAATAATCCAAGGGTCCCATCCTGGCTGCACTCTCAGTCACTGTGACCCCAACATGCCTCCCAATTCCCTTCCTCCCCTGCAGAAGGTGGGGGTGATGACACCCACCTTCTATCCTGGGATATCTGGTCTTAATGGGACTGTCCCAGAGGCGTTGAAGGAGGGAGTCCTCATCACCCCTCAGGCAGCCTGTGGCTGGGGTAGGCTGGCCTGGCTGGAGAGGGCAGAGAGCCCTTTGATGTATTGACAGACAGTCTCTAGAAGACTGAGTCTCTATAACTGACCACCTCTGCCCAGGTGTACCCCATGAATGGGAGCTCTTCCCAGGAAGCTCAGCAGCACACCCTCATAGCTGGTTCAACTTCTGAGACCTCCCTGTCCCCAAGGGCTGATGGGACAGTGGATCAGGTAGGTGGGCAGGTGTGGCCCCTGGCCAATGTGCAGGTGTAAATGTGGAGGGCCTGGGCTTGGTAGGTGGGAGTCCAGGTATCCTGACTGTGGGGTTTCTCAACTCTGAAATCTTGGAGAGGCGGTTCTGTACCAGAGGGCAGGGCTGGCTACCTGACCAGACAAGGGGACAACCAGAAACCGACCCCATCAGCTTTTCTGCTGGAGCAGGCTTGATTCTGCAGACCCCCACCTCCCGGCGCCCCGCCAGAGCTCCTCCAGTCGCCCCTCTCGGATCTCCAGCTAGGAGCCCCACTACAACGCCCACCAAGGGGAGGCGGGGCTGAATGGGGTGCGGTGGGCAGAGAGAGCCATCCCCTGCCGCTACCTCCTCACCTGGAGCAGGAGCCCACACTGGGCATACACAGAAGTGGGGTACGGGTACAGGGAAGCCAGGAAAGATGGGGAAGGGGACTGGGTGGAGAAACACGGGGGGGGCAGCAGGTGAGCTCGTGGGGGCCGTAGGGATGGTGGAGGAGGACGCATCGCAGACAAGGGGTGGGCGTGTAGTGTGGACACCCCGGGGTCCTAGCGAGGGCGGGGGAGCGGGCGGAGGGAGCGGGAATTCAGGGTGGTGACTCACCTGGGCGGCAGCGCCCCTGTCCCCAGAGCTGGTGTCCACGCGAGGCCGTCCAGGCGGTCAGGAGCCGTAGGAAGGCGGGGACGCGGGGCGGGGACATCTCGCCAGGGGGCGGGCGAGGGGTGGAGCGGCGGGCGGGAGCTCCAGGGCTCCCCACTGACGCTGGGCACCAGACGTGGAGCAGTGACAGCCCCGCGACCAACTTCCTACACCCGGGACCCCACGGGGGCTCAGCAGGCTTGTAGACTGCGAGTGGAGGGGCTGAGCTGGGCCCTCCTCCCGGGAAGGTTTTTTTGGGGGTTGACGCGGAGGAAGCCAGGCCCACCCACCGCCTCACTCAGCAGCCGGGAGCGGCTGTGGATCGAGGCCACCACCCTCTGCCCTCTCCAGCGCGTCTCCCCAGCGGAGGAGCGGGCACGGGAGGGGGCGCAAGCTCGCTGGTGCGGGTTTCCAGGAGGTGGCTCTTATCTGTGGAGTCGGTTCCTGACTCACAGCCACGCCCCCCACCCCCGCCACGCCTTTCTTCCTCGGAGCAGCTGGTGGGTTCCACCTCTGCCCTTTCGGTGAGCAGTTTTAACCACCGCGCCTCCAGAACTCCTTGGAGGCGGGGAGCTGCAGAGGAAGGGGAAAATTACAGAGCACCCCAGTCGCCATGCACACACGTTGTTAGACGTTTTAGATTTTGTTAAGACTCATAGTGACCCCCAAAACCTGATCTCCGTGTGTAGGGAAAGGAGACCCTGCCCAGTCGTGCACCACCCTCAAGTCACCCTGATGACCACTGGTTGGCACAGCGCTGTGTCAGTCCGTGTCTGTGGAGGGTCTTCTGCAGGTGGTTCTGGGGGGACCTGCAGATGGCACTGGTGCAGTCCACTCCCCAGTCAGACTTGGACCTGTGCTCAAGTCCTCATCCCCATCTCACACATGTTCTCACACGTGGCCCCAGACCCCCAACTCTGCACAGACCCCACAGTGGACTTTTTTTTTAATTGTTGGGGTGACTTGTTTGTTTTTAGGGGTTTTTTGTTTGTTTTCTTTTTCCTTGTGTACTGTCGAGTCAGATCCGACTGGCACAGGAAGAGATTGTCCTTCCTCCAGTGAAGCATCTGGTGGATTTGAACCCCACATCTTCAAGATTGCAGTGCAGTTTCTTGCCACTAGGCCACCAGAGTTTTCTCCACAGTGTACTTCTGCCCTGCAGGACTAGCCCCCTGCTACAGGGAACACGTCAAAAAGTGGAGATGAGCACCCTTGAGTACAGCCCTCCTCACCAGCCCCCACCCCATCTCCTACACAAAGGGGCAACTGAGGGACCACTCTCCCCTAGCCACATCAGAGGATGAGGGCACAGCGCCCTCCAGGAGGCTGACCTTCCCTGGCTGCAGGAGCAGGTATCAACTGGGGGGGGGGGGCAGCAGACATACTGAAACCTAGATGCTCTTCCCTCGTGGTGGAGGGGGCAGCCGTTCTGGATGAGAATTGAAACCAGGCTGACGTGTGTCCCACCTCGTGGCACACTGATGTGACAACCTGTTCCCAGGAAGTGAATCCCCACAGCACCCAACCTGCTCTCCTCAGCCAGTGGCCAAGACCCTAGTCCCCGAACTTGATGGGTGCAGAGCAAGAGGAAATGAGGCACAGCTGCAAATGCAGGTAACCTCAGCTTGCAATGAGCAACATAAGGCAAAATAAAATAGGGGCAACACGAGTCACCCCCGCACGGGAGGATCAGGCTGGGTGAGGAGGCTCTCTCAGGAACACTGTGAGGTCTGGCCCCCCTGGGAGCCATGGTAACGCAGCTTGTTAGCTGGGCTCCCCACAGAAGTTCAGACCCCTCTCTAGGTAACCCCTGCCCTGGTGTACTGAGTGAGCTGTGACCCCAAACAGCTGTGACCCCCTTTCCAAAGGCTGAGGCCAGTAGCTGCAGGAAGGACATGAAAGCTGAGTCCCCTTCTCCCCCGACATGGCCCTGCCTGGCAGAGGCTCAGCCTCCATGATTATTCAGGAGCTGGGGAAGCTGACTCCAGCTCACCTGGGAACACCCAGGGCCTCCTGGCTCTGTCCCTGAGACAGTCTCCAGAGTGGGCAGGGGCCGGGGCGGTGAGGACAGCATGTGGCACGCTCTGTCCTGCAGCCATGGAGCCTCTGTCCCTGCTGTGCTCTGGCTTGGTGCACCTACACCCTCTCCTCTAACCCAAGTGCCCCTCCTCCGAGAAGCCCTGCTTGACTGCCCCCCACACTGGGGTACCTCTGAGACAGTAATGTCTGTCCTGGCAGCAGGATGAGTGGACACGGCTGAGCCACCCAGTGGACACAGCTCTCAGCCCTTGTCTTTGTTCTGGGCCTGGTACACAGCAGGCTCCCCAAGAAACCCTGCTCAGATGACATTCCACCCTGGTAAGAGATAGTGGGGCTGTGGGGAGAGGAAGCCAGTGGAGGGGACCTCCCACTGGTGAGGGGCTGTGAATCACTGCCTGCTGGCCACCATCATCCTGCAGGATAGGCGCTACCACCTCTCCCTCCCCACTCTGGCCATGGGCAGATGCCGTGTCAGGGCCTGTGTGAGAAGACAGTGGCTGGTGACCTGTGGTTTTAAGGGACATCTTGAGTGAGGCCTAGCAGAAGGGGTACCCTCAGTTTACCTGGAGCAAGAGCAAACCCCTTAGTTCCTCAGACCAGCGTCCAGAATGAAAGAGGCTAGAAGTGGACTGAGTACAGCATCCTCTGTGGGGTCCTGAGATCTTTAGGGACTGGAGGTGTCAGATCCAGTTCTTGTGCAGTGGGTTCAGGGAGCATCAGAGTCCCCAGGAGGTGGGGAAAGAGGTCCAGCCCCATGGTCGACTCAGCTGGAGCTGAACCAGGTCTGCTGGGACACTGCCTGTTGTCCGTAGGCCTGGGACACCCATCCTGGAGTCTGCCACCCTGCTGGGAGCTGTTGCAAACCCGTGATCTCCTTAGTTGCCTCCCACTCCTCCAGACCCCTGCTCCATCTGTGGCCCAGCCCTGTCCCCTGTCTGCCCCTCTAGGACACCTACTGTAGCCCTATGTTATACTGCACAGGACACTCAGGGGCGGCCCGGTCACCTTGTATCCCGGAAGTCGCCTCGATGGGCGCTGCCCTGGACCACATCCTCCATTGATCGAGGAGCAGCTCAGAGCGGAGATGAGCCAGACACCAGATGCTGCTTCGCTGGAAAAGTCCTAGCAGGCGGCAACAGAGCTCTCCTCATCCTCTTCCTCTTCCTCTGCCTCAGGGTGGGGGTGGGGGGGAGCTGAAAGAACCCCACCTCTCCCTAGGGTTCCCCTCAGACCCATGCCACAGCCCAGTGTTGGAAAACAAATCCACTGCCAATATTTTGGTCCTTCACTAGGTTTCTGAGTTTGTCAATCTTTGTGGAAACACACAGCCTCATTTTCCCTCTGTGGAGAGGCTGGTAATTTTGAACCACCCACCTTCCAAATGGCAGCCCTGCACTTTATGCAACATGCCACCATGGTACAGATTTGGCATTCTGGGCCGCAGCAGTGCACTGGATCCAGGAGCAGGGTCAGAGTGGGGTACACCTTTACAAGAATGAGTGTGGGGGGGCAACCTGAACACCCTGAATTCAGAGCTCCTGCCAATTTTTGGGGGTGTCTCCCAGTTACAGCCTTGGCTAGTGCCTGGATCCTTTAAAAACAAGGCTAGTTCCATCACTCTGACTGTGTGCTGGCTGGCCTGCTGAGGTCCTACAGCTAACACAGGCTCCACACATGGCCTTTAGTCCCAGTGTGGTCCCTTACATCCCACCTCTGTGCTCTGAACCATGTCCTCCACACCAACAGGGGGTGAGTTATGATGTCCCCACACCATCTCATCCACAGCGTACATGCTGGGCCCGGGGGATCAATCTCTCAGTGCTAGATGGCAGCTTGGCTAACAAAGAGTGAGGAGGCCAACCCCCCAGCTTCATGTCTATGACAAGCAGGGCATCTGGCAGGCATCCAGAGCAGGGACCAACTGTCCCTTCTTCCGGACCAGCACCGCTTTTGCCTACTTTCACCCAGACCCCTTCGGGTGACACTAGAGTCAGTGGCCCTCCCCCAGCAGCCCTGGGGTCACTGCTTCCCCTCCCCCTCAAATGCTCTCGGTCCAGTGGGTTTAACACGCCCGCAGGCCAGTTCTAACTTAATTGACTGTGTGTGTTGATTGATGGCCAGGGAGCCATGTCACACTGGAGAGAGGGAGGCAACCGCAGGTGGGGGTGTTAGTACCCGAGATGAGACAAAGCTGGGGAGCATCACTGCCTCAAGGTGGACGTTCTTGAGGAAGGGTCACTAGAAGAGATGAGTGCTTGGACAGAGCCTGGAGACCCATTCACAGCAAGGTACAACCCCAGACAGACGGCCAAGGGTACTGGCTTCTGCCCAATGGCCAGGAACCAGCCCTCGTCTTTCTGTGTATTTATATTTAAACTGTGGATGTTCTGTTTTAGAGCAGCTTTAGAATTACAGAAAATGTGAGCAGAAAACAGAGTTCCCTCATCCCCCTTCCCTTACACACAGGGGCCCTTTCTTCTTTGACTACTTTCCCTTGAACTGTTACAGTCGATGTTTGATGTCTGTTACAGGCCAGGAAGACTGACCCAGCAATGATACTGTTGACTGGAGTCCATGGTTCGCACTGTGATTCTCTTTTTTCTCCCTAATTGATGAGTCAGTATCCACATGCATTGTTACTAACTAGAGTCACATTGGAGGCCACTCTGTTGTATAGTCCTGCGAGTTTTGACAAACCCACCGTGTCACATGTCCACCACGACTGTGTCCAACGGTTTCATTGCTCTAAAAGTAGCCCAGGACTCATCTCCTCCTACCGCCCCTCCCCTAGCCCCCTGACCTGCTCTCCCTGCTATAATACTGCTTTTCCCAGAATGCGCTGTGGTTGGATTGCACAGTGTGCAGACTTTAGTTGTTGGGTTTATTGGGCTTTCTTCCTCTTAGCAATATGCCTGTGAAGTTCCTCCCTGTCTTCTTGTAACCCAGTAGTTCCTGGCATCTTACTACTGATTACTCCACTGTATGGACAGACACTCCCTCATCCAAATGAATAAAATCCAA